ATAAACATACTAGCCCGTTGTTGGCTAAATTGCAGCTTAATTTGTTGGATGCTCGTGTTTATTTTATGTTGTTCAGTTTTACTAAGTAGCGCGAGAAGATTACATACTGTCAAAAAGAGTACAAAATGTCGGGTCGATTACAGAATCGGGTGCCATACATATAAAGATGAACCGAGGAGTACAATGAAGAGAACATTGAACAAAAAGGTTATACACTTCATAAAGTGAAAATAACCAGATTTTATAGCTTGATAGCTATCGGCGCATATTATCCTCCTGTGATTGCTCCCGTCCACTTATCCACTTTGCTCATGATGCCAAATGTTAGAAAATATTACATATGCCAATAAACTGAATGTTATCTATCATGCATTCCCCTTTCATAATGCACCCTCAACAACATAATGAACATGTGAATTCTATCAGCTGAGTATACTATAGACACATTTGATTTATTCAATAAAAGCAAATAGAAGTACTCAGTGTAGTAAGAAACGAGAGCTGAAGAGATGATGCGAAAACAATTCACTAACCTCAACTAAAGTTGACATGCCAAGTATTTCCCATATTTTCAGCGTTCACCTGATATGCCGATCAGGTAACACAGTAACAATTAGTAGAGCACTATCTCCTCCTTTGGACCATTGTAAATCTACCAAGCATCGATGATGAACGCTTTGTATATAAGAGGACGCTATGTTCAGATCAACATATCATGAACATTCCTTTTATTTGAAATTCTGCGTCCAGAAGATGATATCATGAGCCTTTCATGCATTTGAACTATAACATATGACCAAGTATATAGTACCTTTACTACATTGTGCATAGCCTCAAGTAGTCAAAACTTCTCTGGTTACATATTATAAATGTTTGTTTTGTTGTACGCGGGAATAAAATGTAGCTCACATACTCATCCCAATTCGTAATGAAATGGAGCTTGCATATTCATCCCAATCCTTATTCAATCAAACCCTCCGAAATAAAAAAATCCAGGAAGTAGCTAAAGTGGGGAAAATTGATGCAGCTAGCATACTCATCCCAATTCTTAATGAAATGGAGCTTGCATATTCATCCCAATCCTTATTCAATCAGACCCTCCGAAATAAAAAATCCATGAAGTAGCTAAGTGGGAAAAATTGATGCTCCAGAACAGCCTCTAGATTTTACTCAAATTTGTGCTTAGCTGGTCAACAATGGAAAAGATGTTAGTATTGCCATTAATCAACCTTGCATGGCTCATAGTAGTAGTGACATGTTTGCTTCTTTCTATATTGCAGCATGTGTTTTGTTGTCCCTTCCTCCCGACAAATTGTGTAACCGAAACTGGAGTTCGGAGTCAGGATGTAGATACTAATTAGTCGAACTCCCGCTAAACCGTTGCATCAACGTACAACATAGATCAAGGCACGAAGTATATTTAGTGCAATGATTAATGTCTCTCATATATGTTATAGTCCCAAACTGAGTGACCAATTTGAAAAGAATTCATGGGATTTTCCCCTCATATATGTCTATCACGAGTTTGCTCATGGACTTTCACTGGTGCAATATTTGACAACATTTTTAAGATGATAAAACAAGTATATTAGTGAAGCAACCTATGTAAGCTAACTACAAAATATCAATACTATTCCACAAGTGATAAACATCAAATTAAACATGTGTGCACGCCTAATTTCTTAGGAAAGCAGCATATTTAAATGTATATCCTACAAAATCTGAAAGTTTGCAGCCTCTGAAACTGGCCAAACATTACTTGCACAAAAACACATAGGAAGTAGGGGCGCAGATCCCAGCGAGAAAAAAACCGCATGTGCTCGAATAGGAGGAAGAGGTTAGCGGAGTTTAAGTCGGGGACGCGGTAGTTGCGATGTAGTGGAGGCGGTCGGCAAGGTGGAAGCGACCGAGGCAAGACGCTGGAGCCGGGGAGTCAGGGAGACGACCGAGGTAGGGTGGGCGAGGTAGGTGAATTTGGCTGGGATCAGCGGAGTGGTGTCGGGAACTGGAGGATGGCGAGGTTGCCGACTTCATGGCGCTGGCTCCCGTGGCCAGTGGGAAGAGGCATTGGCATAGAGAATGTCATGGTGAGGTCGTGTGTGAGGCCATGATGCTACGCAACCCATCCCAAGAAATCCATGCCGGCGGCCGCTGGCTCCCATAGCCAGCCAGGGTAGGTGTGGTGGAGTGCGCAAGGTTGGGGCATGCGGTGCTCAGCTGCCATGGGAGAGAGGATGGGCGTGTTTCAACGGCCACGGGAGAGCCGACGCTTCCGATGCATAGGGAGGGGTGGATTTGAACCGGGATGATGAAGAAGAGAAGAAGACGTGGTTGTGCCAGATCAGTGCGAGAGGATAAAGCAATAGGGTGGGACTGGCGCAGTTTCCGGAGTCCATGAGAAACATCTAGTCTAGTCTAAACCAATGAAAAAAAATTAGCACGCTATAACAAAATAGTGCCACCTTTAAAATACACGAGTAGCGAGAAATTATGCATTGATTTATTTAGCAAGATATTGCACAGAATGCTAGAGCATACTATTAGCGGTGCTATAGCATACTATTTTTTCAGTGGTCTAAATAACTATAAAACTGGGAGTGAACTGTGTTAAAAAACTAAGAGTGACTCAGAGGAAAAACCGGACAAAGGTTGATTATGTACACAAAATTATCTAGCGAGGCATTGCTCAGAATGCTAGAACATACTATTAATGGTGCTATAGCGTGCTATTTTTCCAGTGGTCTAAACACAATACAAAACCGGAAGATAACTATGTTAAAGAACCAAGAGTGAACAGGAGAAAACGCTAAAACGTGTTATTAGCGGTGCTATAGCGTGCTATTTTTTAGTGATCTCGCAACCAACTCATGGTTCTGCCATATGGATAGAAAGCTTCAACACACTCCTGCCCGTGGTTAGTTCTCTAATGCTGAGAGGGTTACGCTCCAACAAAAATCTTTCTGCTTTCATCTTCATAAGAGTGACTAAGTTTTGATATTGGCTCGCCAATCCTATCACAACATTCCTTTATTATTGGGGCTTGGGACCGACTATGTTGAGACAACATAGGCGAAGTTAAAAAAATGTTCATCAAAATCAAAAAACATTAAAATTTGAAAACTGTTCATTCTTTTGAAATCATGAACATTTTGAATTCAAGAACTATTTTTTTAATTCGGTGATATTTTTCTGAATCCGTGGTGTTTTTTGGAAGTGAACTTTTTTCAAAATCTCGAAAAACAAATTATTTTTTTGAGACAAATCTCAAAAAACAAATAGAGTCACCTCGCCCCCACATGGGCCTGCTCAGAAGGGCGCGCACGGGAGGGGTGCACACACGGCCGATTCCCGCGCGCGGGTTGCGGTTTTCTAATGTGTCCCATGCGAGGCCTTTTTCAAATATTGACCCGCCTCGCAACTTTGTTTTTTTTTTAATTTTTTTCTTTCTTTTTTTCATTTCATTTTTAAAATTTGTGAATATGATTTTTTTGTATATTTTGAATCTGGAAACATGAACGGTAAAAAGAAAAGATCAGAGAGTGGGTGATCGAATTCATACGTGATTACATGCATATAAATGTAACTCATGTGAGTTTTTAGCATCAACCATACCATTGAAAACGAGCTTTTTTACAGTACAAAGTTTTATAGTATCGAAAAATAATAGTCATAAAACACAAATATGCAATTCGGAGCCCGACTCATCTACACCGTATGAACAGTACAATCAAAATAAATACTAGAGAAGTTTTTCCGAATTTTTTTGTAGTGAAAGATGCTTGAGTTCGTAATGTCCGTGCCAAGTTTCAGCGCATTCGAACATCTAAGTATCTCTCGGCGGAAAAAACAAAAATCAGGTCAAAACAGTGAACTTTTTCACAAACCCGAAATTTGTTTCTTTTGCTGAGAGCTACTCAGATCTCCAAATGCTCTGATATTTGCCATGAACATCATGCACTCAAGCATCTTTCATCACAAAAATATGTGGAATTTTTTGATTTTTTTAATGAATTTACAGTTCACTCCCGGGCTCATCTGAGCTCAGAGCAAAAACGCCTCGTCCGCTTTCTTTACATGGAAACTGTACATAGTTGTACATTTGGTCGAAACTTTGTAGATAACTCGTGTCGCTTGAATCAGATGTTTACTGCAAATTTTGAGACCAAACGTGCCATCACAGGATTGGCCAAATGATATGCTTATTCATATGAAAATTTTGATAACTTTTCTGGTTTACAAATTCATATGATGCTGTTGTGCATACAAACTTTGTAAACAACTCGTGTCGCTTGAATCAAACAGGTGGGAGTCTACATATGAATCTTATTTCGCCATCGCAAAATGATATGCTTACATACATGCACAAAATGTTGACTCCTACGTATTTGAGTGTCATCAGGTTGGCCTCCAGGAAGATGGTAGCTATTGCATATCACATTGTGTATTCACGGGTTGGTCATCCATTTTTACCCTACGAGTAAGCTAACCGTCAGAGAGAAGGTGACGTCTGAAGCACAAGTCGCCCAGAAGGTATACAAGATTCGGCAATCCACTTCTCAAGCCCAGGCTCAGCTGCAACCGCCCTGACGAAAATAATCAAAATAAATACTAATTTTTTTTAAATTCCAATTTTTTTGTGTGTGGTAGATATTTTGATGCGTGAGGTTCGTTCCAATTTTAAAATCATTTGTATATCTGAGCAGCTCTCGGCAAAAAAGACAAATCCGAGGTCTGTAAAAATGTTATTGTTCACGCACTGTTCTGACCCGATTTGTCTTTTTTGCTTAGAGCTGCTTAGATGTCTAAATGATCTAAAAATTGGAGCGAATCTCACGCATCAAATTATCTACCACGCAAAAAAATGTTTGAATTTGAAAATTTGACATGATTGGTTTTGGACACAGGCCAAACATGCCCTAGCGGCCTACACAAACGCATACTGATAACATGCCAAAGCCAAAACATACACAACATCATCAAGAAGAAGAAGAGCAGAGTTGTCACTGGAGCCTCCTGGTTGTTGTCCTAGCATGGGATGGTGGTGGTGACGCCGGTGCCCTGGCCGCGACAGCAGTGGAGGCAGGAGGAGGAGGCTGGAGCTGATCAATGCGGACGCTGATGGCGAGCACGTCGCCGGACATCAACTCGTGCGGCACCGCCACGAACATCCCCTGCCCCGGCACCGGCGGGCCGGCGGACAGGGGGCTGCTGCTCACGGCGGACGCCATCATGACCATCTCGTCCTTGTCGCCGCGCGGGTGCTCCACCGAGAGCTTGCACCAGAAGTGGGGCGCCGCGGGCAGCGCCACGGCGCCGTCGGGCCTGACGCAGAGCAGCGACACCGCGGTGGCCGCCACGCCCAGGTCGGCCAGGGAGACGAGGAAGACGCTCCGGTCCTCCTGCCCGACCATCACGTGCCAGCGCTGCGCCAGCGGCAGGCTGAGGGTCCACGGCCGGCCGTAGCGCACCTGGATGATGGGCCGGGAGTGCTCGGCCGAGCAGTGGTCGAGGAGCGCCGCCGGGGGGCCGAGGAACGCGCAGCCGGTCTGCGGGCACGAGCAGGGCATCCACGGGCACACGCGCTTGTGCTCCGCCGCGCCGTGGTACACCAGGAACCGGTCGCAGCCGAAGTCCCGGTACGCGCACGGCACCTTGGTGGCGCCCACCACGGCGTCCAGCTCGGGGCAGTGCGTGTCGGCGCGGCCGCAGGCCTCGCCGTGCGCGCCGCGGCAGTAGCCGCACACCACGTGCCCGGTCTCGCACTGCCCATTCATCACAAGCACGTCAACAACAAGATCGTCGGAAAAATGCCATGAATTTTCATGCCTTGTACTGATCTGTGAAATAAATCTATGCATGCCACGCCGTACCTTGAACACGCGGGGCTTGAGGGGGAGGAAGCAGGCCTGGCAGTCGAGCAGCGCCATGTCCATCCTCACGTCGATCTGCGGCGGCGCGGGCGCGGACGCCGCCCCCACCAGGGCCTCCGACGCAGCCGCCGATCCCGGGCTGCCGCCATGGGACGTCAGCTCCCCCTCCTCCCACTCCTCCTCCTCCACCTCCTCCTGCCGCGGCTCCTGCTTCACCACGGGCACCAGGGCCTGCTGCCGCGCCTTCTTGCCGCCGTGCTCGCCGTTGCACGCCGGCATCGACGGCAAACACCTCTTGTCCTGCCCGCCCATGTCTCCCTCGATCCAACTAACTAACTACCCCCCTGCGACCGAGCACACGCCCCCAACAAGATCCCACCGGTTCACACGGACGGGCACGGAGTGGAGTACAGTGAAACGGCTTCCGCTACGAGAGATTGCGTCGTGCCTATGCTGCCCGTCTTCCTACTTTCCTAGTATACTATACTTATACAGTATTTCCTCCTTCCCAAAATATAGGGCGCCGTTTGATATATGACGGTCGAGCATACGACGCCCGATCAAACGGCAAGAAACGGGTTCTATGACGGAAGGGGAGCTGTGATAACCCCTAAGTTTAGCTACTCATCGATCACTTAGCTGGACGAAACACGGAACAACCCATGTGTTGCTACTCCCTCCGTCCGGGTTTACGAGACGAACGCGCGGCGAATTCGTGTACAATTTGAAAATCGAATGTCGTGGATGGTTTTATTGCCTACCCACATCCGCCACATTTCTAGTTTTGACGCCCGTTCCCAACTCTGGAGGGAACTAAATGACTCTTTGCGCGTGAACCAGACATTACACGTGGTTCATTGGCAAGAAATTACGTGTCGTGGGGCGGACTCATGTATACTTTGGAAATGTAATGCCACGGTTGATGGTTTAAACTTTCCCGACGCACCATTTTTTTCCCTTTGATTTCCACCCCTTCCTAACTTTAGGGGAAGTTAGTGACTCTTTGCGCGTGAGCCGTTACTCGTGATTCAATTAGCAAGAAATGGATCGTCGCAAAGCAAACTCGTGTCGATAGATTGACCTACCCCGAAGCACCACGTTTTTCTTCTTCCGATTCAGCCCGCTTCCTAAGTTTAGAGGAAAGTTAATGACTCTTTGGTGCGCGAGCCGGTACTCTTGATTCAATTGGCAAGAAATTGTCATGGAGCGAACTAGTGTATAATTCCAAAATCTATTATTGTCGTTTTTTTTATCACACCCTGATGCGTCATGTTTTTCTCGATTAGACCCCCGGTTCGTAAGGGCCTTTAGTCCCGGTTCACCAACTGGGACTAAACTTAGCCCGTGGGTAGCAAAAAATCTGGGTCAGAAGATGCGCGCACGTATGCATCATATGCGTACGCTACGAGCATGCTGGGTTAGAAGATCGTCGAGACAGACGCATGTACGTACGTGAATTATTAGTGGCTGTAGAGGAATTAGTGGTTCTGGTGTAGTACTATCTGGTACGGAACAAAGTAGTATTGTGCATGCAGAAGGGACAGTTCGGTGTACGGTTTTCATGCTGATCGAGGCCTCCTAATCCTTGTGATTAGCGTTGTAATGGTCGAAAGACAAAAGACGTTGTACTTAGCTTCTGTACCGCTTCTTCTCCTCTAATGCAATGATACATACGCATATTTGTGCGTATTTTATGCGTATTTAATAAAAAGCACTTGGTCCTGGCTAAGATACACTATACGCGGTCCATCTCTTTTTGTGGTTCCCATGAAGATGGAGCGGCGACTGTTGTCATGCACGGACGAGCAGCAGACCGACACGTACGGCCCCCGCCGGAATCATGCATGTGTGGAACAGCAGAGCCGCCAAAGCCAAAATGCTTTGCGGGTAAAAGTTGAGCAGCTAGAAAGAAATCAAGAAAAAAGGGCTTCAAAGTTTGACAAGACAGAGAAGAGAGATTCTGCAGACTACTACGGCGCCTCATCCTTCACGTGCATACACGGCTACACCCCGCCCGTGACTTGCTCATTTCATTTCAGGGAAAAGGTTAAAGAGAAAACTATTTATATCTACCGCAGGAATGCGGTCGCAAATGTGAAAAATGTCTTCGTGCCGCAGAGTCCTGCTCCCGTGAAGGCCTCCGTCTCCTCCGTGACGCAGGTCTTCCTCCTTCGAGATGGATCAATCCACCGCATGTCTAGCCGCAGAGCACCCCTCCCGTGAAGGCCTCCGCCTCCTCCGTGACGCAGGTCTTCCTCCTTCGAGATGGATCAATCCACCGCATGTCTAGCCGCAGAGCACCCCTCCCGTGAAGGCCTCCGCCTCCTCCGTGACGCAGGTCTTCCTCCTTCGAGATGGATCAATCCACCGCATGTCTAGCCGCAGAGCACCCCTCCCGCGAAGGCCTCCGTCTCCACCAAGCTCGCACATGGAGGCGTGTGGCGATGCCGTGGCCATGACCTTACGCCCTTCCGCGGGGAACGCGAGCTCCGTCGCCTACTTGCAACCACCCTCTGAGCACCCATTCACCAGCACCATCAGGGCGCTCTTGCCCCAGACCCTGTCGTCTAGGCAGCGCCACTGGTGGCCGCAAGCGGGGGCATGGTGGGTAGGGTTGATGGAGGACGTTAGATTGCTGATCCGGTATTTCCGGATCAAGATGCTCCTTTTTTTCCCACCATGTGTTTGATGGCGTGAAACTTTATATATCGTTGTAAATAATTTTTTTGTCAGGATACACAATGAGTTTTATTCATCTATTTTTTTATTAGTTTAGATTGCTTACCACATATGTCGCGTTACATTCTGATGGTTCACGCAACCACCAAGCGGTGTGTCTCTTCGCTCTAGCATAATCCTTATAAATATTTGAGTATTGGTTTTGCACAACTACAAATACCAAAGACCCTAGTGTGCGCATACATTTCTCTCACAAAAACTTGTCTGCCACTTGGAGAATACAAAATTGTTGCTAGATAGAAACAAGTTAAAATTCTTTTGTAAATCAAAAAGATATTTTGATGTGTACATGTGCGAATAATTTACCGACCATGAATGTGTGATGAAGAAATAATTAATTTGTGTTTATGCAATGAAAAACCTGACTTAATTTTGTATCACCAACCACATGTTGGATGACTAACCACCCAATTTGTAAGATCAAATCCCACATTGTCAATTTGGTAAAAACAACAACAAATGTGAAATGATTAAAATTTATAGTCGTCAGCTCTTTGAACAGTCAAAAGTAAACAAAAAAAAAGAGCATCCAAGGCTGCCTGCACGGACTCCCTCAAATTATTGTCCTGTTTCTTTCCGTTTCCGGGTATGCTCTGCTGCCTTCCCTTTCCTTCCATTTTTACTGCATCATCACCTAACACACACACGCACACGCTGCAACCAGTGAGAGATAATAACAATGGAGCGTGCGGAGAGCTGCGGCAAGAGCGTGACGACGAGTGAGGAGGAGGAGGTGATGCCGGAGTCGGAGGAGGGAGAGGTGATGATGATGCAGGAGCAGGACGGTGGTGCGGCGGCGGCGGCGGAAGCCATGGCGCCGGCGCAGACCGACGTGAGGATGGACGTGGCGCTGCTCCACTGCCAGGCCTGCCTCCTCCCCCTCAAGCCCCCCGTCTTCAAGGTGATTCAATCCCCCTCTCACCCTCACCCACAAGAACACAAGTTTGTCTCCAAGAACCCAAAAAACCCTCTTTCCATCTCCTCTTTTTGAGAGGAAGGATTTCTTTGCAAGCACGAGGATGAAATTTGAGAGGAAGCTGATTGATGATTTGGGGGTGGTTGTGGCCGCAGTGCGAGGCCGCCGGGCACGTGCTGTGCTGCTTCTGCCGCGCCGGCCACGCGGGGCTCTGCAGCCGCGCCAGCGCCCACTGCGGCGAGCTGGACGTTGTCGTCGGCGCCGTCAAGGTGCCCTGCCCCTACAGGGCGTTCGGCTGCGACCGCTACCTGGTGTACCACGAGGCCGCGGGCCACCAGCGCGCGTGCCGGTGCGCGCCCTGCTCCTGCCCGGAGCCCGGCTGCGTCTTCGTGGGCTCCCGCGCGACGCTCCTCGGCCACTTCGCCGCCGGCCACCAGCGCCCCGCCGTGACGGTCCGCTACGGCCGGGCCTGGAACGAAGTATGCGTTTGATTATGCTATAAGTTAGATGGGTTGTTCTGGATTCTGATGGTTAACTTATCTGATGCAGTAGTTGTAGTAGTAGTGCAGGTAACTTGATGGCGCCTACAAGTAGGAGACGGTGCCCTCAGGCGTCGCCGTCGTCGTGGCCGGCATAGCCAGCCGTGGATTTCTCCAGGCCCCCCATCTCCCCCACCCCTACCACAGACGCGGCGCCGGCGACCTGGGCCAGCCAGAAACCAGATCTGGCAGGGGCCGAAAGGATTGGGGTCGGAGGCGTCAGATCCGGGGCGGGCGCCCCCGCGGCCACCGCGCCCCACAGCCACCACCCGCCGCCGCCTTGCCACCTGCGTGGCCAAGGGGGGGCGGCCAGCACCAGCGCCGCCGCGAGTTGAAGACGACGACGCACCACCACCCGAGGCCGCCGCCCTGGCTTCAGAGCCCCTGCGCGAAACAGGCGAACAGATCCTCGCCACCACCATCCCCGGCGGACGCGCGGCTTCCGGAGACCCCCTTCGGTGGTGGCGAGGGAGAGGAGGGCCGGCGGCGGCTAGGGTTAGCGCCGCCCGAGTCGCCCCTGCGGGAGCGACGCGGGGGCCAACTATTTTTTTTAGTGTCCGGGCCGCCTCCTCCTAGAAATCTGCCTGTCTCCCATATGCAATTGCCATACATCTATAACGGCCTTGACTTTGATCAGATATGCTAGGAAAGCAGATCAAGTAGCCTTTCTGCTCACATGACAGATTCCGTTCTAGAACTTATATACTTTGTCACCTGCCATCTCCTATCTAAACACTCTCCGCCACAGCTTAAACTACAAGGTAATACTATATCTTTCTAGAGTGTGAGTCCCAAAACTACCCTATTTTTAGGCCTACAAAATCCAGGACATGTCACCACATCTTTACTCTTTGGCAGTGAATCTATACATGGACATACCGCAGGTAAGAGCATTTTGTCACACAAGGCTTGATTGATATTGAACTGCCTCCCATTGACCGGAGAGTATTTGTCGCGCACAAGTGCCGGGCCACGCACGTCCGTGGTGCTTGCTTTTTATTTGGGCTTCTGATTTTGAAAGTTTTACATGTTTTCAATGAAAGTTCTAAATTAAGTTTTGTTTTCATATTCGTGTTTCTCGTGACCAGCGCTTTCAAAGAAGATCCATTTTGAATATATTTTGAGAACTTTAAAGAAAAATGTTAAGTTTAAATGTTGAAACTTAGTACAAGCGATCAATAAAAACCAATTATTTTGTGTCTACGACCGACAGAAAAAAATTGCTTCAAGTTAAATATCTAAAACTGGTTTGCACTAATCATCATTGTCCCCCGAGTGTTTAGCAGGACCCATCTTCGTACGCCTCTGATCTGAAAGCGTGAAGAATAATTTTGCAGTGAGACGTGCTCAACAACACAAATTACACCACAGATCCAACCACTGTCTCGATCCACGCCACAAGAGGAACATATGAGTTGAGTAAACCGGAATTTCACACCAATGAAATACTCGTTGGCGACCATTTCATTCATCCGATCTATGCCCAAATTTGTCTACCGCCAGTAAATCGCCACCGCAGGAGCACAGCGCCACCGCGAGATAAGTGGAGGGGACTGTGAATTTTCACCACGCTCTTTTCCCCACTCGTTCTGCCTCCGGGGCAAGTCACGCTCTAGGTAACAATTTAACAAGTGTCAGCCAGGATCGACGTGATCAACAATTTTCCAATGAACAACCAGTGGAAATTATCACCCAATTTCATTCACAAATACTTGTATTGAGCAGATGAATTATGGAGTATGAAGTGTATGCATAGGTATACTATGATTTTGATTTACAAAAAGGGGAATAACTATGCAGTGGCGGGGTGAGCATTATATAGTAAAATTGACTCGGTAAATAGCTTAACAACAGTTAAAAGGTAACAATAATTAACGGCTAATTAACAGTAAACAGTGTAGATGGATCTCGGTCGTTGAGCCAAGTACTCTTTGCCATTATACAATTAAACTTCAACGTGTCTGTAGCTTACATTTTCAGGCAGATTGATTTAGCGATTGTGCTTGTGCGTTATTGGCGTGGACAAATAGTTAATGTCATTTCTTCTCTTCTCTGTTTCATCAGGTGGTCTTTCAATGTCTTGGGGTAAGTAACTGTTATTCCGAATGATTCCACTTCTGGGCACTCTTATTCATTTAGACTAAACTTTTTAACTTTTTGCATTCACCAAAGTTCTATATTATACTTAATAATGATAGAACTGGATATCAAAATGCAATGTGTTTACTATATAGTTTTAATATTGGTCTTGGAAATAAAATTTAACTAAAATTGAACCATATATCACATGAGTTTGACCGAATTATTTACTATTCAAGGCATCACTACTTTTTTTTGGTTTAACATTTTTTTAGATAGGAGAATAACAGAAAAGAAAAAAGCATATATTTTCAATGATTAATTTGTGCCACTAAGATGGATTGAAAGCGATGTTCTCATCCATGCATGTCTATTATATTGTTCCATGAAATATCATAATAGATAGAGATATAGAGTTGTCCAAGGTTTCCGGAATAGATAGTGATACGGAGTTGTCCGAGGTTTCCGGAATGATGTTTGTATATTTTGTGTGCAAGTAAATAAAAGGATTAGTTATGTACATACTATATAGGAAAAAATAATAGTATGATTATTAATATCCATGAATGGTTTGCCCGGGAACATGCTTGTATTTTTTTTAGATTTTATGCAGTGCCAGTCCTGAAACCGCGACAGTTAACCAAAAGTTTCTGCATGCTTACAAACAGGGCTAATCAGCTAAGCTCGTGATTCTTTCTTCATCTCAACTGGAGTAAACAGCACATAAACATGCAGGAGAAACTCACACAGCTGCCTATTCGAGTCATCCCTTGCCGGCCGTGTCCATGGACGGATCATGCACAAAGTGAATGGTTTGAGCTCGTGAAAACTCAAGATCATGCACAACGTCTGAAGTTGAAAAACTCGTACTACCACAGATGAATCAATCATGTCGCTTGTCGTCCATTTTCATCAGACTGGGCGCTCATGAATTCTCATGACCACACACACCATTACGAGCAGCGGATCGCTAGAGAAAATCCTCCATGGATCGCAAGGCGCTCACAAGATAATCTACAATAGATCATTCAGCCACAAGATCGACGAGATAGGTGACTTGTGATTTTGATATTTAACTAAGGAAGATCTTCTTTCAAATCACAAGATCTTCTTTCAAATCACAAGCCACAAGATCTTCTTTGGTTCAATTTTAGTTTTAATATGGCTTGTGATTTGAAAGAAGATCGACAAGATATCAAAATGAACTGGATATCAAAATGCAATGTGTTTACTATATAGTTTTAATATTGAGCTTGTCGGATGCAAGGACCATGGAGGATAGGTGCTCAGCCACAAGATCGACGAGATTAATCAACAACTCTATAGCGAGGTTCAGGTCCAAGTATAGAAAGAAGATCACGCCGATGCTGTCAAGGCCAGCTGTGACCAGGAACAAACGGAGACGTCGAACACCTCCATCGGTCGTCCGTCGCAGTCTGAGGATCAATAGTCGGCTTCGTAGCGGGGCATCAGTAAAAACCTAGCAGCGCACGCTCATGGTTCAGCTCGGAATCGCAAGAGAAGGAGAGGTGATTGGCGAGGAGGCCATGCAGGCATACCTGCAGCTGTTCTCGAGACCGTTGCAACAGTCACACATTGCGGCAATCGTTGGACTCTTTGGGTGGCAGGCGGATGTGCTGCTGCTTGGCAGAGGGATGGAGTGTGACACACTTTAGTGTGTGCACCTGTTGTAGCTTGCTTGTAGGCCTTTTCCTATGGCTGACCCAAGTCAAGTGATAGTGGTGTGGAATGTACGCGGCTTGAATAGCCCGGCGAAACGCAATACAATAAATAACGTCATTTCGAGCTCGGGCGCGAGTGTAGTTTGTCTTCAGGAAACGAAACTCCAAGACGTAAACATAATGGTGGTGCGGCAATGTCTTGGCCCGGCCTTTGATGTGTTCTTTTACGTGCCAGCGATTGGCACTTGTGGTGGCGTCCTATTGGCAGCCAAATCTGCATGTGCGCAGTTGACAAATCCACACATCACGCAAAACACGGCCACGGCGTGGGTGCAGTTCCAGGGGTCACCCGGTTGGTGGTTAACTGGAGTCTATGGACCCCAGGAGGATACGGACAAAGTGCTTTTCATGCAAGAGCTTAAGGATGTCAGAGAATTCCATGCAGGCCCCTGGATGCTTGCGGCGACTTCAATCTCATTTTGGACCCGTCGGACAAGAGCAATGACAGGATCAATCGTCGGATGATGGGCCGCTTTAGGAGATGCATTTCGGACTTCGACATGAAGGAGCTCTATCTCAATGGCCGTAGATACACTTGGTCTAATGAATGGAGGGAGGCCACTCTCGAAAAGCTTGACCGGGTTTTCGTTTCGGTGGAGTGGGAGGCGATGCACCCTGCATCTTTCCTCTCTGCGCTCAGTACCAGCACATCAGATCATTGCCCATTACATCTGGTACTTGAGGCAAACCTACCACGGGGGAGACGCTTCCACTTTGAGGCTTTCTGGACGAGAATTGAGGGCTTCCAAGACGTGGTCAGACAAGCGTGGGGCAGTCAACCATTCATACAAAACCCGTACAAACGATTGGCGGCCAAGCTTAGGACAACTGCCAAACATCTTTCACGCTGGAGCAGCAAGTATGTGGGAAGTGTCAAGCAGCAAATTCGCATTGCGAATGAGGTCATTCTTCGGTTAGATGTCGCCATGGAGAGCCGTGCTTTATCTCATGATGAAATCGGGCTGCGGAGGTTGCTAAAAGGCAAGTTGCTTGGGCTGGCCTCCCTCGAACGGACGATTGCCCGCTAGAGATCCCGGATTCTTTTCTTGCGGGAAGGGGACGCGTGCACACAGTTCTTCCATGCGCATGCAAGCAATAGGAGGTGCAAGAATTTCATTACCAAGCTCAAAG